GTTCTCATACTAGTAAGACCGAAGAAGCTTTTAATTTGAAGTCTAGCACCATTCTTTTTTTTAATGTACTGTACATTACAGAACAGCTTAGCTCACTAATGACAAGCACCACCATCAGTGTTAGCATCATATCCTAGTCTGCCTGTTTCTGTACTTTGTGTGATGAGACTACAGTAAGTTCTCCCCCCACCCCCTCCCTCTTCTTCCTCTCTTTTCTTTCTTTTCTCGGTAATGCGGATTGAACTCAGGACGTTGTGCTTGCCAGGCAGGCGTGGTACCACTGAGCTACATCCCTGGCCCTCTGTCTTCTTTCATACAGTTATGCTTAGGAGATTCAATTCAAACTGTTGCTTATAGGTTTTCACTTGCTCTTATTGATACATAGACTTCTGTTGTCAAAGTACTATAAAATAACTATGTTACTCTTTGGCTTTTGGGGGCTTTTCATTTTCAGGTACTGTCAGTTGTATTTTATGAGCTTTCTAGTACATGTTCTTTGTAACCATGGGAAATTAATATTTTATGAATTTCTAATGCAAAACTAGTTACCTTACTTTTTATAACTCAAATGAAACTGATTATGTAAACAAGAAAGAGTATTCAGTGTGTTCTTACAGTTAATTAATGGCATTTACCTTTATTACCTTTGTTTTTTTTTGTTTCCTCTTCTGGCTTTGTGAGCTAGGGCAAGGAGCTTAACCTCTCTGTGCTTCATTTATAAAATGAAAAATAATGATAAGCTACCCAAAATGGTGGTTGTTAGACTTGAATTAGTTAATTCTTACTAAATGTTTGGTCTAGTTGCTTGCAATAATAGTAAATGCTCAACAATATCCTGCATATTTCATTGGCCAACTTTGTGCCTCCTTTATGAACTTCTATGAAGTATCATTGTCTACTTTTAAGTTCTCTTATTTGATTATCTATAAGTTTTATTGTTATATATCCATATAGTGGAAATTTGTAATTCAGATGGGGGTTGTACATTTTCTTTTTTGGCATTTTTCTCTGAGATGTGTATGATTTTTTAGCACATAAAAGTTTTAAATTTTATATAGTCAGATTTATTCATGTTTTTACTTATGGTTATGTTAAGGATTATAACTCTTAGGGTCCTATTTATTCAGAGTTCTTACTTACATTGTTTCAAGTAGAGCTGTTAACTGCTTTTTGATCCAATAGAAAGAACACACATGTGGCTTTGGAACACGTGCCTCTGTTATGAAAACCTGAGATTCTGCACTCTCATTTCCCTTTGAAATGCTCATTATTCTTTTTACTTCATGATATTAAGATGTTATATAATATAATGTAAAGAAAATCCTTAAAAACATAACAGTGAGTTGGGGAGATGAGCAGCAAAGTGTATAGGGGCCCTAGAAACACTGTTTGTTATGTCTTCTCTAACAAATGACCATAAACCTAAGAGCTTCAGCAACATGTATATATGTAGGTCATGCAGCCTACAACTATGCTTTTGTCTGGAGTCTCTCAAGGCTCTAATCAAGAATTAGCCTGGAGTGGGATATGGTGGTACACACCTGTAATCCCAGCTACTAGAGAATGTTGAGGCAGGAGGATTGCCAGTTGGAGACCAACTTGGGCAATTTAGTAACGCCCTGTCTCAAAATAAAATTTGAGGCCAGGTATGGTGGTGCACACCTGTAATCTCAGCACTCTGGAGGCTGAGGCAGGAGGATTGCCCCGAGTTTGAGGCCAACCTGGGCTACAAAGTAAGTTCAAAGCCAACCTGAATTACATAGGGAGAGCCTGTCTTGACATATAGATGGACTGACAGATGGGGGGGCCGAGTGGGCAGGCAGAGTGGGGATATGTAGCTCAGAGTAAAAATAACAAAAAAGATATGGCTAGGTTGGGGCCACTGGGGATGAATCCTCTTCTAGGGTCATTCAAGAGTGAGAAATTTAATTCTCTGCATTTGTAGCACTGTCTCCATTTCCTTACTGACTTGGTCTGGATTACTCTCAGCTCTTTGGTACTTATTTATGACTCCTTTTATCTTAAAACATAGCAACAGTATATTGCTGTTCATAACACAAGTGTGTTGTGAATTTCTTTGAATTCTCCTTCTACTACCAGCTGGAGAAAAACTGCTTTTAAAAGGATTATATGATTAGGTGAATCTCCCTTTTTGTTAATTCAGAGTTGGTTAGTAACCTTAATCACATCTGCAAAATCTGTTTGTTGTGTAGTATAGCATGGTCTCAAAGCATGATATTTCATCACAACCACAATTTCCTGATTAGGGCAGGAAATCCGAGAGGGGCCAGAGTGTGCAGGCATTTTAAAATACTCCCTGCCAAAAATTGTACATTGAGGAGCTGGGATCTAACCTAGAATGTATCATGGCTTACTGTGATATCAGGAGAAAAGGTACTACAAATGGAAACAAAGCTTTTGTACATAGGGAGAGGAGGGGTTTGGGGGGGGGGATGGGATAAAATAAAATTTATTAAAAAGTACAAGGAGAAAAATCCTGTTCTCAAATATTCTCCATTTTCATGTTGTAATTTTTTTTTGCGGGTGTGTGCATGCATGTGCGTGTGTATGTATATAGTAGATGTTTCAATCAGAAATGTGTATGTAGTAGGGTACAAAGGAGAATTAATTAACTGGACCAAAACAGCAATAACAATAATTCTGTCATTAAGTTTTGCATAACTTCAAGCCAACTCATACAGAATTATTTGATAAATTAGTTGTTATCTCAGTCAGTTTTGTTTTATTTTGTAAAGCAAACACTTGTTCTTTGCCAGGCATGGTGAGGATGCCTGTAATCCCAGCAGTCAGGAGGCTGAGGCAGGAGGATTTCTACAAGTTCAAGGCCAGCTTTGGCTACATAGTGAGTTCAAGACCATAGCAAGATCCTGTCTCCAAAAACCACCCGCCCAAATCAGCAAGCAAGCAAGCAAACACTTGTTTTTTTGAGACTCAGAAACACCAAATCTCATTAATAACCATTTTCTAAATATAGCATTAGAGTGCTCGCTTCGGCAGCACATATACTAAATACAGCATTAGAGTAGATTTGCTTCCTGAGATGGCTAATCTCATACTTTGTATGTTGATTCTTACTGGTTTCAATTTTTAAATCTAGTTTCATTTAATTTGATTTTTGAGTTTTACATTTTTCAAGCTATATTTTTCCCTCTCTGAATACCACATTTGTCATATCTGAAAGAATTTTGATGTTTGATAATTTCACAGTCATTCCTGCTTTTTCTTTTGATTTAAAAAATTCTGCTGTTATATACAAGGGAGTCAAAGATTTTTTAGTACATATATTTGTTAGTTTATCCTTACTGTGATTTTCTAATTCTTACAGTACATCTAGGGATGGATCTGTTTTTTCTTTTTACCATGGACTAGGAATTATATACTTTTTATGTATGTGAGTATTTATACTTGAGTATATGGTGAATTTTTTGAAAATTTCATGTACATTTAAATAGAATATGTATTTGGTTTTTGCCATACAGTGATCAGTGTATATTTTTGTGTGAGTTTGAATCAGGTTTCATATCTGATTTATATTTTGGTTTTGAGAGGTATGTTACAGTCCAATCATAACACAAGTTTTATTAAGCTCCAAATTTTGTCTGTTTTGTTTTGTATTATAGATTGATTGATTAATTGATTGATTGATTTTTGGTACCAGGGATCGAACTTGGGACCTTGCACTTGCGAGGCAGGCGGCGGAACCACTGAGCTAAATCCCTGACCCTATAGATTTATTTTGAGGCAATCTTTTGTCTTAGGCTAGTTAAAATTTCGGAGAATTCCTCAAATTCACACTTAAAATTGGTAATATGAGTGCTCCCTCCCTTGTACCTCCCTGGCCCCATGTTTTTGGATTAATTTCAAAATACATTACTTTTTCCCCTGTCTTTCCTCTTTTGTTTTCTCCGGTGATTAAATAAGTAGAAAAGTATGAAATGCTATCTGTGAGTTTGAGATATTGATTCAAATACAGCATTTAATTGGTACACCATTTAGGAATGATTTCCCTTATCCTCTTTATCCCCAAATATTAATTAACTTTGTAATTGTTAGTTTATTTATTTATTTTTGGACAGAGTCTTGCTATGTAGTTCAGGCTGGCCTTGAACTAGCAAACCTCCTTCAGCCTCCTGAGTGCTGGGATTATAGGAGTGTACCACCGCACCTGGCATAATTGTTAGTTTATGACTTGTTTGATATCTAATGTGTGGTGTATAAGAGTGCTGACATCAGAGACATTCTCTGTGGAAATTCATTCTTTGATATTTTCTCTAATTTTCCAAATAATTTTTATGAAGATACATTCCAGCCTTTATACCATCCATTTTCGTTCAATGACAAATATCCTTTATTAGCTTTGTAATTGTAACAGATGGATTTGAAGGGATCACTTATATAATTAGTGTTTTATATCCTGATATATTTATATGATATTGTAAATTAGTATGTTGGATAAATTCAGTACTTTTCATAATAACTTAGCTAATGTCATATAATATTTTTCACTTGCAGATATGATTAAGGGACATATTGGTGTTTCTAAAATGACTAGATGTTGGGAAAAGGATGACTTTTTCCTTAGTGTGTACTTTTAAACCTTACTATATTTTGTCAGTGTCATATTTCTGTGCAGCATACCATATGATACCAAATTGGGTCCATAAACTTAAAATATTTTCAACTAGCAACCTGCTATTTAAACTATATTAGTATTTGCTTTTAAAAAGATCTTTAGTTGTACACTTTTGACAAAGCTGATAGAAAAAAGTGCTAAGTTTTTAATTTGAGTGGAAGGATGAGTTGGTAGTAGGTGAGACACTGAACTGAATACCTTAGATTTTATTGTTTTTAACTGATTTTTGCAGTTTCAAATCAGTTTTACTAATGAGGTACAAACGACAAATGCATTTTTTAAAAAAGTACCTTCCCAGTCCTATGTTAGAATTGTGAAGAGATTTCTGTCCTTTATCTCCTTCCAGCGATGTGCATTTTGTAAGCACCTTGGAGCCACTATCAAATGCTGTGAAGAGAAATGTACGCAGATGTACCATTATCCTTGTGCTGCAGGAGCTGGTACCTTTCAGGACTTCAGTCACTTCTTCCTTCTTTGTCCAGAACACATTGACCAAGCTCCTGAAAGATGTAAGTTTATTCAGGTATATTTTAAAACTGTTGACAATATGTTCACTTACGATAGCATATGTAAATCGCCTGGTGTTCTGGTAGTAAAAAGTGATGTTCATAATCCTGATAGTTTGAAGGATCTTTGCCATAGGTCCTTAAAGGGAAATTTGTTGTCAGCAGCTTCATTGAAATCAATTCCAAAAAATTACTTCCTCAGAAATTCAGAGAGAGTTTGCAGGTTTTGTACTCTTATTTAAAAAATAATTTAAACTACTTTAGAAATACAAATTGAGAATGCAGTATTTCTGGTATGTACTATAAAACAATTTATTAAGAGGCTAAATAATATTCTGTGTCTTAAAAAACAATAGTAGGGCCGGGTATTTAGCTCAGTGGTTCCGGCGCCTGCCTCGCAAGTGCAAGGTCCTGAGTTCAATCCCCGGTAACAAAAACAATAGTACCCAGGGGGAAAGTTCAAAGCTGACTCTCTCCAGTATTATTTCAAGATATCTGCTATAGGAATATTAAACACTTTATTCAACTTTTGCACATTGTGTGGCCCTGACAGTGTCATACAGATCTCCATAATGCTTCTTCCTGATTCATCTGCTTTGGTTGTTTGTAGTCTGCAATGTAGTCTCCCCCTTTTCCCAACAGTATTTTATAATCTTACAGTGTTGAAAATGTTTAAATGCTTGAATTCTGTGTTCTACAGTAAATTACAACTTTTTACTATTTTTTCATTAAACAAAGATATTGTTTTTACACTATAAGGATTTCCAGTGAGTGTGTATGTTTTGGGATCTTGTTTTTAACCAAGTGAAGTTCATTTCCAGTCTCACTAAGAAATCTCCATGATATTTTATTCAGTCTTTTAAAATGTTGCCTCTTACTTAATTGCTAGCTTTTACTTGTTTCTTAGTAATGTTGATAAAAGCTTTTTTCCTGTCTTTTTCAGATCTGTGAAATATAAAAATAGCTACTTAAGGCTTAACCTAAAGTAATTTCAGATATAGTTAGACTATATTACTTCTTTTTATCTTTGTTTTATACTATAATTTCATCTTCAGTTAAATTACTTTGTGTCCACAAGTGTAATTGTATGCCCTTCTTCACAATAGAGGCTTAAGTTATAGGTAGGGCCAAGAATTTCATATTATATTTAGACTAATGAATAAAGGATTAAAATTTTTAAAAATATTTTGCATTACACACTGTAAAATGTAGGAAAAAGAAAATCCATGCACAGTAACTATTATGGGTATTACTTATATAGTGAATTATTTCACCGAGTGTGTAAATGAAGTTTCAGTCATCAGAGTTGAGTATATACTGGGTGGTGTAATACATTTTACCAACCAAATAAAACGCGTGTGTGTGTGTGTGTAAGAATGTGAATTTTATTCAGCCTTTCAGACTCAGTCATGCTTTAGATCTCAGTAAATAACATGCAAACTTACATATGAATATGTTTCTATTGTTAGAAATTTCATTGGCTAATATCAGTGCTACTTTCTCCCGATGACTGTGTTCTGATAAGGTATATTTGCAGTTATATTAGAAATCATGCATTAGTTTGTAAAATAATGAACTGTGTGAACTGAGGTGAGATGATTTTCTCTCATTTATCATGAAGTTTGTGAAAGTGTTATGCTGGCAGCTTACAACTAAAAGATACACTGAAACCACTCATGTTGTTTGATTCTGAAATAGACTTATAGTGACTCCTAAAAATGCATGAACAACAGGCTAAAATAAAACTAAGGATATTTGGCCATGGGAAACACAGATTGGATAAATATGTAGGTAATGGTGAGACTGATAGCCAGAGGTGGTTTGTACATTTTGGATGTAAAGCACAAATTTGGCTCCAGGCTTTTCTAGTGATCAACACCAGGAAGGAAATATGAGTGTGCACCTAATTCTCAGCACATACAACAAGAATTCACTTGATACTAAGACTGTAGAGAGTAAGTTGGCACTGCATGTTGTAGTGAAAAATGTCTTAGCTGTCTGGCAGTGTAAACAAATTCTGCAGGGTATTGTTTATAACAACCCTCAATCTAAGGCAGTGGTATAAAACCAGTGCCCAATTAAATAAAATCTGTTCCTCAGGGATCTTAAATTATGCAATCTAAATTCATAGCTTTCTAACCATTTATCTTAATTCAAGGATATAATTTAAAGATTATTGCAGATTGACTGTACTGCTCCCTCCAGCAGTACAATATCTACCTATTTTAATTTGGGCCATGGCACAAGGTATTTTTATGTTTTTAAAATGGGGATATCTTAAATTGCAGTGTTACAGTATTTAAATGATAGTAATTAATGGAAATCACAGCATTTTGCTTCGTATATATTAATTGCTTTACAAAAAGGTAGTTATTTTAACTCTTAAGGCTCAAGATGTGAGATTAATAATTTATATTGAGTATACCTATTTTATGTTGCAGCATGCAGAGGAATGGTTATATTAGTTGGCTGAGTGAGGAGTGAGACTATCTTAAAAAGTGATCACTGTGACAGTGATATAGAGCATTGTCTTGTTGCAGAGTGGGTTTTGTTATATAGAATAGCTTCGTGAAATGGAAATACAATGTAAGCTCCATAAGTAATTTAAATTTTTCTAGTAGTCATGTTAAAAGTGTGAATATTTGACATGAATTTTATTAATACATTTTATTTAACTCCAAATATACAATTGATATTTCAGCATGTATTCATTCATTATACAAAAAGTCTTGAGGTACTTGACTTTTTTCTCCTGTGTTAAGCCTTTGGAGGCCAGTATATATTTTATATTTAATATACACCTCACTTTGAATTAGTCACATTGCAGGCACTCAGTAGCCACACATTCCTGGTAGCTGTGGGAAGTTGAAGTGTTAGCATAACAGACTTCAGGAAGGTTTACAGGAGCATTCTAGACATTGTTCCTGGAAAATTGTAATAGAAAGTGAACTGAGTATTTGAGTAGTTTAAATGCTTTTCTTAATTTCATAATTTTCTTCTTCTTTTTTTGTTACCGGGGATCAAACTCGGGAACTTGCGCTTGTGAGGCAGGTGCCAGAACCACTGAGCTAAATCCCCAGCCCAGTTTCATAATATTTTCAGGGTAAAATTATTCAAAGATTGGTTTCTAAATGTACACAACTTGAATGGGAAAATACTGGCACTCTCTTTAATATTAAGAAAAATAACTAACCCTTTCTTGTCCTTTCTATCAAAAATTAAGTAACTTTTAAGACTTCTTTTAGATTCATGATTTGTTTTAGATGTCTGCCAGTTAAAGAGCCATTTAAAGGGATTTTAAGAGGAGTAAAAAACCTTGAGTTTTTTGCTAGACAATTAGAGCTACAAAGTGGGAAAAGATATGGTCCCTTTTCTTCCAAGGTTTTACAGTAGTGTTGTAATCAGTTGATTATATAACAAATTTCTTCCAACCAAATGGGGAAAACAAATACTCAACAGCCAAGTGGGTGCTTGGGTGTAGTATAATACAGCCTAAGGGAATATGTTTGAGTGGAGTTTTGAAGGCCTCTTAGGAGTGGGCTGAGGTAGAAGATAGGCACAGCATTTCCAGCAGAGGGAACAGAAGGTGTAAAAACACAGACATTGAAGGGCAGGTTGCTTTAGGTGCACAACAGCCTACTTGCTATGGCCAGGAAGTAGAATGGTTCTGACCTTACATTGGGATGATTCTTTATAGAAGATATTGTAATTATTTAGGCAATATGTGATGGACAAAACTGAAAAAAAACAAAAGGAAGAATGATGATTAGATAAAAAGTTTAACAAGTAAAAATTGGCATCTGGTCAGATGTGTTGGGTAAGGGAGGAGTCAACAGTGATGCTAAGGTTTCTACTTTTTACCCATTCTGTTGAGAAAAAAGGAAGAATTTTTAAGTTTCATTTTAGAGTTATTGAATTTTTTTTAGAATATCTGACTGTTGAGCTCCTATAAGACTTGAAAATAATGGTTTGAGGTTTAAGAAAGAAGTCTGGGGCTGGTAATCCAGATTTGAGAATCGTAGCATTTACAAAGCGAAACTGGGGAATTAGAAAAAAGGAACAGGATGAAATTCTAGGGGACTTCAGCAGTTATGGGAATTATACCAGTAGAGGTACAGAAGCCAAAAAAGGAGAATGAGATCAAGAAATGAGAAACTTGAGACAGGCAGGTCTGCCTACACCCTACCGAGGTCCCCAGTCGCATGGAACACACTCCGAATCAGCACGCTACAGACAGGCAGGTCTGGGCACACCCTACCGAGGTCCTGAGTCACGTGGAAGACACCGAATCACCCCACTGCAGACAGGCAGCCACCTGATTCCACA